CAAGTACCTACTCTGGATAATTTCAAAAAACACTTGGATGCCTATCTTGCTGGGATCATTTGACCCCTCCTGACTTCCTGCCCTTTGTGCAGGGGGCTGGACCCAATGGTCTTATGAGGTCCCTTACAGTCCTAATGTCTATGAAATCTATAAAATGAGTAATAAGGCAGAAGTCTTAACAGGAATGAGGATGATAACCTGTTGGAACAAACTGCCAAGGAAAGGAGTAGTTCTGCATCTTGTGTGTCTTCAGATCAAAACTGGATGCTGGTCTGTAAGAAATGCTTTAGCCCAACACAGGTTATTGGACTAGATACAGGGGTGAAATATAAAGCCTGCTGATGTCAGATAGTTGTGGGTGAGGGTTTACAGTGGTAATTTGGGGGTTTTTTCAGTTAACAGTTACCTGCAAATGGCTGGAATTAGATTCTGAAGCCCAGGAGGACCCTTCAAATCTTACAGTCCTATTCAAGGTGATGTAATGGTCTCCTCTGATCTGAAACTATGTGAATCTATGAAAATAAAAAGGCAAAGAAAAAAAATCAGTCTTAAAAACCTCATGATTTTCAAAGCAATGGCATGGTTTGGGGACCCGACTTATGCTTTTGGAGTTGTTAATATTGTACTTAGTGTTTATAAAGAGCACTGGATGTGAAAAATATAAATAAAAGCATCTATTGTTATACTTTCACATTCCTCATTTTTATTATTATTGAGCTTGGTCCTGCCTCTTGCCTACAGATCATACCATTTCTACGCACACAAGGGGTCAATTGCACATCAATTGCAGCAGGCTTCACATGCCTACCCAGTTTTATTTTCAAAACCATATCTATGTGGGTAAACACCCACATGTGTAAGGGGAATTGTGCTTGTTAAATGAGTGTTTGGGTGCTGTTTAACACATTTGTTGTCACATATGCTTGGTTACAAGCACAAATGGGTTTTGAATCTGTCTCCAAGTGTTGTAGGTCAGAATCACTGGTGTACGCTTTGTACTAGGTTTGTGCTAGCTGGGTGATCCAATGCAACTGCAACAAGTAAGTCAAAGCACTTTGAAGACTACTTTGCATTAGCCAAATGCACAGAACAGTTGGAGTGTATTTAGAGGGAAATTTTAATGGATTTCAGAGTTTTAGGCTTTTTATATACAGATTTCCCTTCCTTTATGCGGGTTCTATATGTGTGGATTCACTCTTATGCGATGACCCTTTTTATACCAAAAATTAATTATATGCGAGGTAAATTCACTCTTATGTGATCAGTGTGGTGGAAGCCAGCAGTCAGCTGCTCTGTGCGGTGCATTGTGGGAGTGACACATAAAATATAGTCTCCTGTGTGGATCTTTGCTCCTCGCTCGTTCTCTGCAACATGTGTTTCTGTAGTTGCCATCCCCATTAAGGTAATATTCACCACCACCCTGTGCTTGTGTGTACTGTCTGCTGTTGGAGAATACCAAAATCATCTTGTAAAAGTGGTAGAAATGAGTCTGGGGGTTAGTACAGTCGAGGTCTTGGAACATATCCCTATGTGTTACATTGTAAAGAGGGTTCCCTTTATGCGAAGCTGAGTTATGCGCCTTTTTCCAGGAACACACATACTGCATAAAGCGAGGGAAACTTTTATTAACTCTTAGTAGTGGTATTAGCAGATAAAGACATGAGACACGCAAAGTTTACTGATTGAGCAGATTCATTTTGTGGGGGTTTATACCCAGTTACAGGACTCCGGGAACTTACCAAGCACTTTCGGCTTGCTGGGCTTATGTGAAGCCCTAGAATTCCTTCTGGTCCCTGGCTCGGTACATGTAGCTTGCTGTGCTGATGTCAAGCTCAC